AGAGCTAGGGATATTAAATATTGTTTAATTAAATAGTCAATTAACCTCATGGATTTTTATCTATTACTCGACTATTCTTTAGTCCACGAGGGTGCTCCAGCCCCACTCCCGAGGGGTCCCCTGCCACTCTGCACTGTTGCCACATCAGAGGCAGCAGCCCAGAGTGCCAAGCAGAAGCTGATCCATGAGGGGAGCCAGTGGGTGGCAGCAGCCCGTCGCGGGGGGAAATGGGGCGGCGCAGGCAGAAGGGCCTGAACTCCTGGACCTAGTATGAGCTGGAACTGAACCAGGCTGCCTGCACACCTAGCTCCTAATACACTTTAAATGCAGAACCACAGCAGGGGTAGGACCAGGACCCTGAGCCAGGCTTCTGGCTAGCCTGCTAAAAAATTTACTGGAAAGGGAGGGAGGGAATGCATGTAGTCGACAGCATTAACCCATATGCTTTTGCTTATTGGTTAATCGACTACACTAAGGGTTCTCAAACTCGTGATACCGCGGGGGCCCCCCTTCCATTGCAACCAGCCTCTCAGTTGCTTGCGACCCCCCCCCCAAGGGGTCAGGACCCCCAGTTTGAGAAATGCTGGACTACACTATTGCAGCCTTCAAAAGTGGCCTCATAAGACGACCCAAACTGCCACATGGCAAGCCCATATGTTTCAAAGCTACTGTGTAACTAGCCCTTGGGTGTGCGCCATTTGGCAATGCTTGAATGCCAAAGCGACATAAAAAGAATCCCAGTCCGGTTTCGTTTCTTCGGAAGGCACTGTGTACCCACAGGAAAATTGTTTTTTAAAACGTCTCTCCACCCCCCACCCCACCTCCGTTGTAATCATTAAGATGTGAAATCTCCCTCGTGCTTCTTAGAAAGCTTCTGACAGCCCTTGCCTGAAGGGAGAATTTCTCCCGACAAGGCAAGAGAAGATGCAGCATGATCCATGGCCAGCTACCCTGAAAAAAAATCTCACCTAGAGTGAAATTAACACAACTCACCGATCGGAGCCTTTGATGGCCGTGTTGGATTTCACCCTGAACGCCTTGGAAAACATGACCCACGTGCAAGGAGAAGCGTCCAGGCCAGCGGTGCAGGTAGGGTGCTAGAAAGGGGAGAGCATGACCCCAGCTCCAGGCTCGCAGCTCTCCGGCTTCATTTGATGCGAGCAGCCATGCTACAGTCCAGCAGCGAAACGAGCCCGTGCGGCAACACACAACAGCTGCGGCTTCCTCCGGCTCTTACTGCTTCCTCTGAAATGGCCAAGCATGCTGAGCTGGGGGCGGGGAGGTTGAGCCCGCAAGAGCTGACACGCGGGAGTCACTTTGCTTGCAAAAGAAATGCTGCCGCCCAGGAAAAGGACTCCTGAGTGCAAAGATCCTTGCAGCACGCGGTTCGTTTGCAGGCACCGAGGCGTGGGAAATAGACACTCCAGAGCCGCCTGGGTTACAGCCAGTGCCATGCTGAGCTCAGCTTCCCAGCGCACAGTTTCCAGCCCTCACGGGAGCGGCTGGGGAATGAGTGTGGAGACAGCTGATAACAATAGAAGACTGACTCCGAACCGCTGGTGCTGGAACACGAGCCAGCAGGGGGTGGGTTAGTGCTTGGGGGTCTCGATTGCAGGCCTGCCAAAATCTCCCTCCAAGGCATAGGACCTCATTTTGGATTCTGTCTCTCCTTCACCAACCCTTCCTAACCTTTAAAACACGGAATAGATATCACCCAGTTTGCAATTTTCTCAGCGCGGGTAATGGACAGAGATTTTTGCGAGTGCTGATTTCCCGTTGCAAAGGGTGTGGCCACATAGTTTTCTGTCTCCTTTGATTAATTGCCTGATCTCTAGCCAAAGGTCCTGCGAACGCTTTTCTCCTGCAGTGCTAAGTGTCCCATCGTGTATTCAATAATATTTCAGGTGTGTGTAGATGCACGCCTCGGTTCAAGAATATGACCTACCCCCATGACAGAATGGAGAGCAATGGTCTCAGGTTGCAGTGGGGGAGGTCTAGGTTGAATATTAGGGAAACTATTTCCCTAGGAGGGTGGGGAAGCACTGGGATGGGTTATGTAGGGAAGTGGTGGAATCTCCATCCCTAGCTGTTTTTAAATCCTGGCTTGACAAAGCCCTGGCTGGGATGAATTAGTTGGGATTGGCCCTCTGATACAGAGGCAGCAAGGGGCAGGAGGGGGAATTCATGTAGTCTATAGGATTAACCGATAAGCCTAGTCTTATCGGTTAATTATGTAATCGTCTACACATTGACATCCCTAGTGTCACACACCTCTCAACACATCCCGGTATTGTTGTTACTACTTGGTACTTCCTGCAATGCACATATATTTTCCGTAATTGTATGCTTTCACAGAGTGCTATTTTAGTGTTTTGACTGATCTATGCATTTTGACATCTTTCTCTGTCTTACACTTAAAATTTAATTTTTTGAGCAGTGAGCTTTACCCTGCCTGACTTGTCCTGACTGAAGTATGGTCATTTTAAAAGAATGTATATGTTATATCTAGGTCTTTTGTTTCTACCCAGTGCATGCAATAACATGTATTGCTCACGTGGGTGAAAAACTGAACAGGAACCTGCCAGCTGTGTTGGCACAAATATTAGGCGAACAGCATCCTAGGAGGCCCATTGTCTGTTCTGCCCTGGGGCCAAAAACTGCTGTCAGGGGGCTTGGCAGGCTACAGTAATATGTCAGCAGCTCCCATCAGTGACCCCTCCCCCACCAATCAGGGCCTCCTGCTCCCCTCCTCATGGCTCCGATTTCCTGCGATCAGATGTTTAACCAATGCAGGAGACTCTGAGGAAGAAGAGTGAGAGTTTGAGGGGGGGGGGACAAATGGGTGTCTTATGGGAAGGAGTGGAGTGGGAGCAGGGTCTGGGCCTGAGCTAGGAGTTGAGGAATGAGCACCCGCCAGCACACTGGAAAGTTGGCACCTATATAGCTCCAGATCCAGGCCGCACCTATAAACTGAGCTGCCTGTTAACTTCTGAAGAGCAGCATGCAACTGCCAAGCCACTGGTTGGCCACCCCTGTACTAAAACTTTAAAACACATGACCTATGTTGATGAGGATTTATAGCAGTGAGATTCTGTGCTGGTCTGTCTGCATGGATCCAATTGCAGGACCAGGGTCTAAATTAAGATCTCTGTTTAAAGCTGCTTTCAATGTATGTCTGTCTTCTGATACATGGCTAGAAAAAAATAAAAGCCCAGGCATACCAAGCAAGAAGATGCATCACTTTCAAGACAGAAACTATTTTAAGGAAACCAGAAAATTAGTCACACATTTTGGACTATGCAAGGAATAATGGGAATGTAGAAAAGAAATGTGTGAGCAATTTTCTGCTTTTCTCCAAATAAATCCCACTTCGAAAGGGCACTTTTGTGTTTGGGAGATGCTCCATTTTGTGCAGATCCTTTACTGCATTCTAGGAGAAACATTTGCAACTTTAAAAAAACCCTGTGTTTTCAATTCAGAACTTCTGTACATTGTTCAGACATAATAAATTTGCAGATTATTGCTAAATGGGGACAGCATAAAGACCTGATCCTGCAAAGATGTATCCACCTGCTCAACTTTACTTGTTGTGAGATGTCCCATTGAAGGGACATCACAGGCACTGGGGGCTTAAGTATTGGGTGGACTGAAAACAGGCAAAGCCGTTGCATAGCACAGGCTCATAAATGTTACTGAGGGTTATGGGTAACTAAGATCAATTCTGTGTTCCTAGAATATGCATAAAAAATTGGGGCTTCTCTTGTATCATAATCCAAACATGCCACAGTCACACTGTGCTGAGATCAGGGGATCCGAGAATAAGCAGGTTCAGTGCATGCAATAGGTACCCAATGTTGAGAGGAGGGATGAGAAGGCCTACTACGATAAATGAGATGATTCACGCCTCTCAGAGCTATTGTTTGAAACTAATTTAATCATTGTGGGATTTTCTGATTCCAAACCTCTGAGTGCATCCTCTTCACCCTATCTTGATGGGGTATAAGGACTCTGCGGGGGGTGGGACAGGGGAGTATTTCCCTCACAAATCCACCCAGAGAACAAGGAACTGTGCAGTGAAGGTAACATCTCCTAGATCAGTGTTTCTCAACCCTTTTTTTGTTTATAAAGTACCCCTTTTTCAAAAAATAAATCATAAGTACCCCCAGTACCTACAGTTTTCAGACATGCACAACGTTTTTCTACCCTTGCAACACATTTGTTCAAACAATTTAATCGTAGCCGAGCGGGCAATGAAATTTTTGAGTGTAAAAAGTACAAAAATAATGCAGTGCAATAAAACTTAAAACAAAAATTCAGTTTTCTTCAGATTTCGGTTGTATTGATGTACCCCTCCCCCCCGACTTCTCTCGAGTACCCCAAAGGTACTCGTACCACTGGCTGAGAAACACTGTCCTAGATCGTACAGGCCACACAACCTTAACTCTGCTAGTGGGGAGATGGCTATAGTCATAGGGAATATAACTGTCCCGTATCCATCCTAACAAAAACTGCCAGTTTCAGAATACCCACAGTGCTCCATATCCGTGTTCCTATTATACACTTCTGTGGACTTTCATTGTGTTCTCTGTGACACCATTGACGCAAAATGCAAGTAGTGTTCTGGTAGAGCTCCCAGTGGTGTAGCAAGACCATTTTCCTGAGGTACTTTTGAGAGCAAGAATCAAAGGGTTTTAAAGATGTAAAATTTCCTCTGACTTAGAGTGACACTGCTCCTTTTTTCATCCTAACTGGCAAACGCTGCCCACTTTGGGGAATGCAAGGCACTGAGATCTTCCTGAGGTACCCTTTGCTGTAGTGATCAAAGGGGAAGAATTAGGGCAGTGTGTGGGGGGAGGTATAGGAAGCATTATCTGAAGAAGGCATTTCCTTGTTTACTCGTGTTTGTATTTTGTTTTGTGAAGTGTATTTCCTGAGGCTCAGTCATTTCATTTTTCAGGTGGCTGCTTCTACATTCTGGAAAGGGCAGGGGCGTTGCCAGGCAAACTACCTTCCCTTAGAGGCTTTGTCTACAGTATGGCTTTTGCAGGAAGAGGCAATGTAAATAAAGCGCTGATTAGCATATTGTCGTGCTTTATTTGCATAAACTATTCTGAGCCATTTTTGGGCAAAGGGTTTTTGCGCAAAAATAAGCAGTATGGACGTGTCTGTTCTGTGCAAAAACCCTTTTTTGTGCAAGATCTACTTCAAGCCGTTTTTGTGCAAGGGGGTTTTGCGCAAAACGTCCACGTCCACACTGCTTGTTTTTGCGCAAAAACGGCTCAGAACAGAGTATGCAAATGAAGCGTGACAATATGCTGGAGCCAGACAGAACCCCTCCCCTCCTCCCTCTGACATCCGTGGGAGAGAGAATTCTTTAGAGCAAAACTCTGTCTTCAAAGGCTCCAGGGCCTCCAAAGTTGCTGGAATAACAATGGCCCTGGATACTAGACAGGAACCAGATAACAGCAGCAATTGGGCCAGCAGGCGATTGGGACCTTGGGCTGCCTTTGGTTGGTACCAGTAATTGATACGCCTACACACCGTCCCAGAAGAGGAATCTGCCACTCCATCAGAAAGAATGTCTGGCCCTAATGATTTAGTTACCTCCACCTCACACGTGCAAATTAAACTTTGGACCCCCTGTGGGAATGGGTGTCACAAAGATGTTCCAACTTAATTGGCATTTTAATGACAAGAGAAGCATCTACGTGACCACGGGGTATAAAGTGGGGCCCTGTACCCCACTCTAATTGAAGATCCACTCATATACCTGCTGGTCAGGCGGTCTTGGACCCCCGAGACTTTAGGGATGCCTTCATCACTTATCAACTGCTTCCCATTGGGATTGAGAGAAACGCTGGCTTCGCCGGAGTAAGGATCGCAGAGGTGAGAATATACCTGATAGGTGTCTATTTTTGCGCGCATTCAATAAGAGCTCAGGGAACCAAAAGGGTTCCATGGTACCTTTAAGTGACTGTTATTGTATTGTCTTTGTAGTGACTGTGTTATCTGTAACACAGCAGTAACATTTAACTGCTAAGCTTGCCTTGTAACAATAAAATAGTAATTGTTTACACTTTTAACCTGACTCCTCCTGTTGCTGTAACAGAACCAAACACAATAAAAAAGAACCATAGCCGGTCAGGGGTAAACGCAGTAAGAGCTGAGCGTTGAGTCCATAGCCGGTCAGGGGTAAACGCAGTAAGAGCTGAGGGTTGAGTCGTGCTGCCTCCACGGGGAAGTCTCTTGGGGCGCCCGTCAGCCTCCCTGACTGAAACTGGAAAACGTGTTTGGCAATAAAACGTGGTAGTGTAGATAAGGCTCCAGCAACCCACCCCCCAATTAAAGGCTGGCCAGAAACTCAGACACCTGCTCACCTGCTGGGTGGGGGAGAGAGAGAGAGAGAAAGTATGTATGTATGTGGAAAACTCAGGTGCACCTGTTGGGGTGAGAGGGAGACAGAGAGAGGTCCTGAGAGTGTCGGACCAGAGGGGAGGGGGT